CCCTAAACCGCAAAGCCCAAAGCCCTTAAAAAAAACAGGCACTCGCTGATCAGCCTTCGGCTCATGCACGATGACGTTGTCGGGCAGCTGCATCTTGGGCCCCATCTTACCTCGGCTTAGGGGTTTAGGGTTAAGGGTTCAGGGTTCAGGGTTTAGGGTTTAAAGGGAGAAAAAAGTACAGACGTTTATGTCATAATGGCTCCTTTAAGGAACAGGTACCCCCAACAAAAAGTATTAAAGTATGGTACTCCAAAGCCCAGTTGCCCTCTGGGTCGTGGGACATCATGATCTTCACCTCTGCGAAAGCTTCTTCAGGTTCACTATAATGTAGGAGCATCAATAATTAGAGTAAGAGGTTTTGGGGCCCAGTATACATTTCACATTTCATATAAAGGAAACCCCCCAAATAATATTGGCTAGTTATTTCGGCCCCTATATTAACTTCTCTATAGAGAAGTTCTTTAGGAGTTGAGGCTCTAGGGCTCGCAGGCTTCATGATCTTGTTTAAGGGCTTGCAGCCCTGGGGCCTTGAGGTTTGGGGGTTTCAGGGTGTGGGGTTCTAGGGCTTTAGGGTTTATGCTCCTCGCTTGTGGCAGTAGAGCTTTAAGCTTCAAGATTCGCGTTTGAGGGTGTGCGGCTCGGGCTTAAAGGGGGACTTGAGGGTTCGGCGCTCACACTCGGTCTCTCCTGGCAGGGGCATCTGTCCATAGATCCGTCGGGGTTTCAGGCTTTAGGCTTTTCTTGCCTGCTACTTAGCACGGCCTTGCCCGCGTGGCAGGTTTGTTCGAGTTGGTCTGACATTCGTCACGTAGTCGACAAGGCAGAAAGACAAGGGGACCAGCGCATCACGCATCCCGAGACCGGCAGTTGTTGTAGAGTCAATACGCCAGTGCATGTGTCACGTCTGGGAAACAGAGCCATAGAAGTAAACTATTGTGACCATGGCACCTGAGCAAAATGCTCACGGCTCGCGTCATTTGGCTGTGAGGGGTTTAGTTTTAGAGTTTGGGGTTGGGTTTTCAAGCCCACGAGGTGTTGGCAGCCTGGGACTCGAGCTCAGGCAGAAACTACAATATGGAGTGTTTAGTATAACCGAGCGTTCTTTGGGGGGAAGAAATTTAGAAATGAATTTCTGATGAATATTACGAAATCTTATTGTGCTACCTCGTTTCCAGGCTGAGTTGACAAGCATAGTGCACAGGACAGCAAGCATGTAGTTTAAGCTTGACAAGGAATCGTACATGCACAAGGCGTGACCACTGCCATTGCTGGTTGCCCTTGCCGGCCTTGATTCCAATCGTGCCCTGACGCATCTGCACGTGACGGACAGCCTCCGAGATGTAGTGCCTGTTTTCGAGACTGTGCGACTATGATTTGTTGGAGCTGGCATGATCTCCAGGTTCCTTGAGACAAGTAAGCCAATACAGCACATGACAGCACTAGCACAATATCGTTGGCCGCCATCAAAGGCCGTCGAAGCACAATGCAGAAACTGGTAATAATGACGTGGGCATATCGCTGATACGATGCAAGACTGACCATCAACATGATTCGCTTGAAGAGATCCAGCAGATGTGCCTATAGATGTTGGAAAAGATGGCAAAGAAAACGCTCAGCACATACCCTCAGGATGGATGGTGCTGAAGCAAATCCCTTGCGAGAATGAGGTACGCCAGGACTACACTTGACTCAACGACCCCAGTGATAAGAGGGTCATGACTCAAAAATCATCTACGTTTGCCATTGCGATAACGATGTACTTGTGTAGGCTTCGAATCTCAGAAGCGGTTCTGATATCGGTCTAGAGTGCCTCTACCTATACTATAGTATAAGAGTCATGCCTTCTTGTGCCCATCTCAAACCAAGGCCCCTCTCTTGCCATCTCACCGTCTCTCTTCTCTCCTCACTCTCTCTACCCCTGCCCCTGCTGCGCCTAGGTGTCTGCACCCTAAACCCTAGACCTTAAATACTCTGAAACCCAATCCCTACGCAGCTTTCAGCCGTCGGAGCGGCCTCTTCGGCTCGCCCGTGGAGATCAAGTAGCCCTGCCTGCGAAGGCGACGTCTTTCAGGATGTTGGCGTTTAGGCTTACGGGTTATAGGGCTCAGGAGATTGGCTTCCGATGCTTCTTTCCGATGAAGGAATCAACATGAATGAACATACAAAAACTCAGCATTCACAACGTATACTGTTCGCCGAGTTCGCTGTGACCGCTGCTACTGAGACGATTAGTATTATGTGACTAAAAGTCATGCTTCTCTCTGCTGTTGATCAGATTCCCGACACCATCCAGTGCTTGCCGGAACGTGTCAGCCACCCTAAACCCTACCACCTGAGCCGTCGCATGTGAAATGAGCAGCTTCGTGGTCATGCACCCCCTCGCGAGTACTCAGCCTTGTGGGCTCATGTTTTGTGACGAGCTCTCGCTATTTTGTGTGTTTCTGCATGAGTTCTCGGCTTTTGCCATTGTTCAAACCCTTACATACCTTTGCCCCCAGGAAGCAGCGGAGTAAACAGTTCAGGTGGCTTGCTGAATACAGTTTGGGTGTTACGGGTTGAAGAGTTCTGGTCTGGGGGTTCAACGTTTAGGTTGCTTGGTTGTAGTTTAAGCACCTAGAATAGGAGTTATGAAGAAAAGTCGCTCTACAAAGCCATGAGACAATTTTAACGGTCACCCCTAAACCAAACCTAATCCGTAACTTCTCGACTTTGAGTTCGTAAAGCCAAGTGGCCTTTCATCTGGGGGCCTACGCCACTTCACCACGGGAGCCGAAGCCAATCTCGGATTAGTGATGTTGTATATGGGAACAAGGTCTAAGTTTTAGGGTCCAGGGTTGACGGACTAAACCCCTAAACCCTAAAGTCTAAGAGTCTAAGCCCTTGAGCGCTGACTCCTTACAGGACTCCTCTAACATCCCCTGGCTCCAACCCCAACCCTGATCAACCCTGAAGCCCTCAACCTTAAACCCTAAACCCCAACTCTAAACCATAACTCTAAGCCCGAAACCTTAAGCCCTAACACCCACGCCGCATGCCCTACACCAACCAGGCCTGAACTTCATCGCCTTTGCTCGCTGGGCACGAAGCTTTCCGCTGATGATGACCTCGACGCCCTTAGCGCCGTTCTCCATGATGAACCTGGCTATGCGTCGTTATAGCTTGATGCAGGATTCTAGTTTAGGATGACTTCCAGGGCTTCGTGCTCTGAAAGAAACTGATTTTCGGCCTATGTTTTCTGGGCGAAGTTTGCTAAGCCTTGCTCTCTGAAACCAAAGAAGCCAGCATCAACAATCATCACAATAGCGGCAACCAGAATCAAGAGCCACACAGGAGCCACAACACCACAACAGTAGAAATTACACATGGGACATGCCTAAAACGCCTATGATAACCTGGAAGGCATGCGACCTCGTTTGTGACGAGTTGGGCTATATAGTGATTCCGTTGCCTCAGAGGCTGGAACTATGTAACATGATGGTATCTTGTAGGCATTCTGGTGGCTTCGGGCTTCGGCATGTGCGGGACATGTAGCTGCTATTCATTTCGCTGGCTTCCGGGTCATGAACTGGCAGGAGTTTACACCAAAGACTGCCCGTGTGAAGCCATAAAGGCTATGTACCAGAGACTACTACTACTACTACTACTACTACCACCACCACCACTACCCCAAACCCTTTTGCAACTGGCTTGCAACGTCACGCCAGGACACCCTAAACCCTAAACCCTAAAACCCTCCGGCCTCAAGACGCCGTAGCAGGCACGCCGGACTGCGAGGCCGCCAATGAGCTTGAAGCCTTCTCTGGAGTTTCAAGTGCTGCCCATGTATGGTTGCATGCGCATTAGTTACACAAGAGTATAAATATACATACACACATATACATATGCATATGTGCGTGATGTATGCGTGTTTTTTTGGGCTCCCACGTATATATATATATATATATATGTGTGTGTGTGTGTGTGTGTATGTATGTATAGAGAAAGAGTGAGAGAGAGAGAGAGAGAGAGAAAGAGAGACAGAGAGAGGGACAGATAGAGAGAGCGGAAGAGAGAGAGAGAGAGAGAGCTTGCGAAGGAGGGCGCGTGCTTCCGAGCCCTTCAAACACCTGAAAATCAAATGCTGGCTATGGGCAATACCTTGCAGATCAGGAAACCGCGTTTTTTCAGCACGTGAATTGCGTGTGTTGTGTGTGCCGGCAAGCCGGAATCTTAAGGGGGGAAGCTCTTAACCCTGAACCCCCGGCAACCCGCAAGTCTCCAGTGCTTCGTGAACCGTATCGCTTTATGCTTCGCTTCCCAGGAACCCCTTGTCCTGCTTTGGGACTTAGGGGTTTAGAGTCTAGGGCTAGAAGTTCGGGCTTACGGTTCAGGGCTCATCTACAAACAACACACACAAACCAAACCCTAAACCCTAAATCCTAAACCCTAAACCCTAAACCCTAAAACCCTAAAACCCTGAAACCCTAAACCCTAAACCCTAAACCCTAAACCCTAAAACCAAACACAATAAGAATCAAAAGTCAGAAGCCAGGGTGCGAAGAGATTCGCACTGTGCCATGGCACAGCTTGCACGGTTCCTCGGCTCAGTTGACGCTTTGGTTCCTTCAGGTTTAGGGTTTAGGGCTTAAGGGTTTTAGGGTTTAGGGCTT